ATTGCGCTATCTCTTGGATAATGGTATACCCTCAGATAGTATCATATAAAATATGTTCAGCATAGTATTGGATGACTTCCCGTCATCATCAACATTCAAAGATTTGGATTGCTTGATTTACATTTAGACGGGGACTGTTTTTTTTAGGACACCCTCATTTTAAATTTTCAAAAACATTATGTCCAGATATACAACATATTGAGAGCTGACACTTGTGTGACCATTCTGTATTTAGTTTGAACCCTTGACACCATGTATGAATAAGTGAAAACTTTAGGATGAGTTATATCCTTATGATGACGTCAACTGAAAGGGGTGGGTAGTGTCTCCAAAACAAGCCCTTTCAGTAAACATGAAGGGGGAGTCACTTGAACAAGCGATTATAGTTTAAAATTGCTTTTTTGTGCAGTTTAATATCTAAGTTTGACTTTTACCAACATACAACATGTTTTTTGCATATTTTGTTTCAATTGGTGTAGGGGGATTCCCGCCAATACACCTTGATGTAATATTGGATCAAAATCTATTAATTCTTTCCTAAGTTCGCGGCTACCAAGGTTGGCATGTGCAAAACTGTTACACCTTCGCTGTGACCTTTAAAATGACCTCAAGGTCACTAAATTCAAGTGGTGTCGGTAAATCTCGTCAAAATAAACCTTGGTACCAAATTTGAACAAAATCCATCATTTCTTTCTCGAGTTCTTTCAGTAAACCGAAGGGGGAGTCATTTGAACAAGCGATTGTAGTTTCAAATTGCCTTTTTGTGCAGTTTAATATCTAAGTTTGATTCTAGCCGACCTCTACCAATCTCAAACATACAAAATGTTTCTTGCATATTTTGTTTCCTGAAGTTTAATTTGTGATGCATTTCATTGCTAGTCAGCTAGGCTATTCCATTTGTCCGAACCACAACATACGGAGACAGATCATTTTAGCAGACCGGGTGCTGTACTCTGGAATTGATTACCTGAAAATGTCAGAAAATCGGAAAATATCAACAGTTTCCGATCTTGTCGCAAAACCATCCTCTTCAAACGAGCATTCGACTAAGCGCACATGAGCAGGACTCTGGATATGTAGCGCTATACAAATGTCTAATTTGATTTGATTTGATTTGATATACCCGTTAGAAACCCACCGCCACCCCACCCCCACTTTATATTTATACATATCAAAACCTCAAAAGATATTTGCGAAAAACACATGATACAGAGGACAGTCAGAGATTTTATATCGATTATATATCAGGACGAATATCATTTTCGTCATTTGGCTAACATTTGTCAATTCTTTCTTGGGTTATCGCGCTAACAATCTTTATATTGGCAAAACCCTCAGATTTTTACTGTGACCTTGAAAATTATCTCAAGGTCACTCCATTTCACTTGTGTTGGTGAATCTCGCCAATAAACCTTGGTACCAAGTTTGAACAAAATCCATCAATTCTTTCTTGAGTTATCGCCCTAACAAGCTTATTTGATGTATGAAATTTCAACGAAAAACAACACCCGCGTATTTACGAGTGATTAAAACTGTTATTACAATTTACGTAAATATTTATTACATTTTACCGCAACGAAAATTATTACAATTTACGTCAATTTTTATTACAATTTGCGTATTACAATTTACGTCAATTTTAATACAATTTACGTTTTTACAATTTGCTGCAAAATAATACAATTTGCGTTTTATTACAATTTGCGTCCTAACAGGTCTACTTGTTCAGCTTGACCTGAGCTACTCTACATATGCATGACCCGGGAGGTCAAATGGCACACACGGCTGGTCGAGTTCACTTCATTAAATAGGGGAGCAGAGAATGTTGCGTTCGTGCGAATCATGCATACATGGATTCGTTACAGAACCTGTCCCGGAAAACAACACTTCTGAAAAAACCATCATTTCATGTTTTAATTGAATTGTCTATACAGTCATATGCTATCTAATTTGGTTTGATAACTTTACAAAGTACAGACGTCAATTACTGTCACAATCCGAATCACTCTCGCTATCACTCTCTACACCCAGTTCAATTATCACTTCTTCTATTTCATGTTCAACTGCAATATTTCTGTCTCAGTAGTTAGGACATTGCTGACGATTTCTCGACACTGACATTTCAAACGGCGACCTGGTCTCGGCTGTTCGGACATGTTGACAATCAACTGACAAAGGTGCACCCCTTCACAATAATAGACCCAACCAGTTGTGACACGGTCACGCAATACATTAGCATTCAGGTCAAGCTGAACAAGCTGTACGCAATAGATGATGATTATTTAGGGATGTAACATAACAGGGATGACATGATGCGTATTTCGCAGACGGAAGCAAAAGAAACAGACTTCTTCTTTAAATATAGAACGTCAGTGCAAAGTAAAATACATAGTCTTGACTATCTTCAGAAACAAATTCCTTTTAGGGTTAAGAGGGGAAATAACTGTGAAAATTATATTAACACATATTGAGCTTTGGGTACAGATTTTATGCACTCTTCGAATTTACGTGGAAGAGAGAGAGAGAACGACGATGGCGATATGACCGACAAACACTTGCTATTTCATTATATAACACTGGTTTAGGTAAATACGATGTCAAGGGGTTTAATGTCATATAGAAGGCTATTCTCGGGTTGGAAATAGTGATCAATGTTTGTTTCAAGACCGGAGTAGGAGGATCAGATCACTGCCCAGAACCAAATCACTTGTCTCGGGATCCTCGTGAGTTTAGTTTATTCCAGCTATATGACGGCGATCTGCATGTAAATAATCGATTCGAGACCAGACAATCCTGTGATCAACAGCATGAGCATCGATCTACGCAATTGGGAACCGATGAAACGTGTCAACCAAGTCAGCGAGCCTGACCACCCGATCCCCTCAATCGCCTTTTACCACAAGCATGAGTGCGGCGTTAAACAACAAACCAAATCGATGAAGATACACAGCACCGGAGTTTCACAGGTCTGACAATAATCAGGTTAATATCAAAACTGGTTGAATATTGGAAAGGCGCCCTCACTGATAACTCGGATTCGTAATCTAAGACCTGATCAATCGGTTTCATGCACATTCCTCCCTTGTTGACAAACAACCCATCAAACATCTTAGATTATTATTCTAACATAATGCAGGGGAAACTGTACATATATCCTTTTCCCCAGATTTGGAGATTTTACGTGCGCTTTTCGACATGAGGCGTGTTTCGCACCAGATGGATTTGAGTGGTAATGCGTGCCATCGTATCCTGAGTGAGTGAGTTTGGTTTTACGCCGCTTTCAGCAATATTCCAGCAATATCACGGCGGGGGACACCAGAAATGGGCTTTACACATTGTACCCATGTGGGGAATCGAACCCGAGTCTTCGGCTTGACGAGCGAACGCTTTAACCAATAGGCTACCCCACCGCCCCTCGTATCCTGAACCAACAGATGGGTTATTATGATGTCAATCACCGGATTGTGTGGTTCAGACTGACTTCATATGACCGGAATAATACTGAGTGTGGTTGTGAACAACAGAGTCATCGGTGCATACTTTGACGATTTAATGGAACATTTGTTGTAATGTTCAGCTTTATTGGAAGACACAGTAAATACACAAATTAATTTATATATTTTTTAAATAAAAAACTCCCAAAACATCATGACATTGAGAATCATCGGAGCTACTCCTCGATCAGCAAAAGTACTGTAAGTCCCCATGGTCCCTATTATGGTGATCTACCTTCAGTTGCTGGCGATCTTTTTTTTATATTGTATTGTTTTCTGCAATGATACATTTTACAATACCATGCTGGTTTTAAACCAAATCTGTTTTACCGTCCTTTGGCGACAGGTGTTTAGGGTATAGATTTATTCAGGTGTAATGTGTAGATTGTTCTCGTCACGGTATAGCTGAAATATTGCCGATGTGACGTTAAATGAGTATCAACTCACTCCCTCACTCCTCTATCACGCGACCCTTTGTTGTGTTCTTGTACCTTTTTACACGTGTATGATACTTCATAAAGGAGAATGACAGCGCCGCCTACGATGAACAATGTCCCTGCGGCATAAAATGATATGGCATAGTCCCCGGTCGCATCATATAGCCAGCCTGAAATGTTAAAAAAGGTTAGAGAGAACAAACACTGAAATTATCCAGTAGATATGATGATGATGATGATGATGATGATGATGATGATGATGATGATGATGATGATGATGATGATGATGATGATGGTGATGATGATGATGATGATGATGATGATGATGATGATGATGCCTCAAGGGTAAACTAGCTTGGAGAAACTGAACACTGAGACTAGTTGACCCGTGAAGATCCGGTTTAGAATTGGTCTTCAGTAAGATATGCTTGTCGTAAGAGGCGATTAACGGGATAAGGTGGTCAGGCTCGCTCACTTGGTTGACACATGAATCACACTTCGTATCCCAATTGCGTGGACCAATGCTCATGATGTTGATCACTGGGTTCTCTGGTCCAGACTCGATTATTTACAGACCGCCGCCATATAGCTGGGTTACTGAAGACCGATTCTAACACTAGTGTAGTAATGTCAGTGTACCCACCAGCTGTAGGCGATCCCAAGAAGATAACGACTCCTTCCAAACAGAACAGGCTGCCAATTCCTTCAGTGAGTTTCTCGTCGCCAATGATGTCTGCCACAGCCACTGGTTGAACGTACAACCAGATACCTGAACATATACACGGTAATTCAATCTCGTGAATGTTGTTTGTTAGCTTAATACTGATGTTAAGATGTTATTTGTTAGCTTAATACTGAACCAATGGGACGCATGTGAATTTCTGTATTCTTTACCTTTTATATGTAGACATTGTGCCTACAAACCTCTAAAGATCTTATGATTGAGTGAGTATGATTTTACGCCGCTTTTAGAAATATTTCAGCAATATCACGGCGGGGACACAAGAAATGGGCTTCACACATTGTACCCATGTGGGGAATCGAACCCAGGTCTTCACGAGCGAACGCTCTAACCACTAGGCCTCTCCACCTCCCTCTCAAGATCTTATCACAGAGCATGTCATTATTACATGTATACACACCTAAGAATATCCCATAAAACACTGAATACGACATCAGTGTCGGGAACGACTGCAACTTCGGACACGTCATGGTAGCAACACCACACAGAATACTGGCTGAAGCGAAGAAAGCCACTCTGTTGACACAAGGGATATCGGATATCCGACCAAACACCAAGCGTCCGACCATGCTGGATATGCCGATGGCGGATATCAGCCACGATGATGTATCTTCTGGGATCTCCAGACCATTCGCCAAGTCCGGGAGATGGTTAAATGGAATTGAGTAAGCAAAAGACCCAAGGACTGCTCCAGCGACATAGATGGTGAATCTCACGGTGGTGAACGTTGACAGAATGGAATTCACTTTTATCCAGAAAGTTGCCAGACAGCTAGCCTTGGTTGTCTCCCTTTGGTCTCCACCGGAAATGAGGAAATAAAACAAAAGCTATAATGAGAGTCCTGGAGTGAGTGAGTGGGTGAGTTACGCCGCACTCAGCAATATTCCAGCTATATGGCGGCGATCTGTAAATAATCGAGGCTGGACCAGACAATCCAGTGATCAACAGTATGAGCAGGATACTGTCATAGAACAGCTGATTATTAAATGTCAGTACAAAAGAAAACCGAGTTTGACTGTCCGAAGAAATAGATTTCCATTTGGTGAAAAAGACAAAAATAACTGAAAATCATCTAAATGGACCACTAAAAGTGATGACGCAGACAACCGTCAAGTTGTTTTGTTCACGATTAATATAAGAGAAAAGGATAAACATCTACGTAAACATTATTTATCATCATCACCGAGCTCAAATCTGTTTATATGTAGGTAGCACTTGACATATTTGTCACTTCTTAAAAATACAAAATACAAATAACTTGGGAAAACCAAAGCGACCGTTAGATCGTGAGCAAAAACCGTGAGCAAATTCGTAAAATCTCCAAAGCAAGCCCGCAAATCCTCAGAGGGAACATGGGAGCCGTTATGTAAACACTCGACGGGACGAGTCTTCTTGGAGGTTAAGGAAAGGGGCGAGTGGTGACGAATGATTGGGAGGTTACAGAAAGGGGCGAGTGGTGACGAATGCTTGGGAAGTTACGGAAAGGGGAGAGTGGTGACGAATGCATGGGAATGTACGGAAAGGGGACAGTGGTGACAAATGCCTGGGAAGTTACGGAAAGGGGAGAGTGGTGACGAATGCTTGGGAGCGTACGGAAAGGTGACAGTGGTGACAAATGCCTGGGAGGTTACGGAAAGAGGAGAGTGGTGACGAATGCTTGGGAGGTTACGGAAAGGGGCGAGTGGTGACGAATGCTTGGGAGGGTTACGGAAAGGGGAGAGTGGTGACGAATGCATGGGAATGTACGGAAAGGGGACAGTGGTGACAAATGCCTGGGAAGTTACGGAAAGGGGAGAGTGGTGACGAATGCTTGGGAGCGTACGGAAAGGTGACAGTGGTGACGAATGCCTGGGAGGTTACGGAAAGAGGCGAGTGGTGACGAATGCCTGGGAGGTTACGGAAAGGGGCGAGTGGTGACGAATGCTTGGGAGGGTTACGGAAAGGGGTGAGTGGTGACGAATGCTTGGGAAGTTACGGAAAGGGGAGAGTGGTGACGAATGCCTGGGAGGTTACGGAAAGAGGCGAGTGGTGACGAATGCCTGGGAGGTTACGGGAAGGGGCGAGTGGTGACGAATGCTTGGGAGGGTTACGGAAAGGGGCGAGTGGTGACGAATGCTTGGGAAGTTACGGAAAGGGGAGAGTGGTGACGAATGCTTGGGAGGTTACGGAAGGTGGAGAGTTGGTGACGAATTATGTCCAACTGTTGGAATCCTACCTGATTTCCTTGATTCTGTTTTCAGATCACTCAGTTCCTGCTTGGAGTAAAAAGGCTTGAAAAGTGTCCCGAACACAGCACAGTTGAGGACGAGCCCACCTGTAATCAACAACGCTCCCCTCCAGGTGTACTCCGACATCATCACCTGTAGGAGAGGGGGGAGAGCCATTGTCCCCACACCTCCTCCTAGAGACCCTAGGGCATTGGCCAGGGACCGTCTTTTCACAAAGTACTGGTTCACGATGACCGTGGCTGTGATAAACATCAAGTTGAAGCCAAGGCCTAGAGAATGATAAGGAGATAGGTAATGGAAAATTGATGATCATAATAAGCATACATAATAACAATCAGAAAGACCGCAATATGTTTACAAGTGTTGGTTATTTTTATTTATTTATTTATTGACTTAATTATTATTATTTATTTATTTATTTATTTATTCATCTAATTATTTATTTATTTACTTATTTATTTATTCACTTATTTATTTTATTTTTCATTTATTTATATATATATATATATATATATATATATATATATATATATATATATATATATATATATATATATATATATATATATATATATATATGTATTTTTATTGTTTTTGGAGCCGGGAGGTAAGCTTGAACAAATTCCCACGTCAAGACAGAAACTTCAGTCCTCATCAGTGACAGACTTAGCAAGCACTTTCACGGTTAGGGATACCGTGCCACACCGGAAACCCGGGTTTGACATGGGTACAATGTGCAAAATTCATTTCCGGAGTCCCCGTCATGATAGTGAGTGAGTTTAGTTTTACGCCGCACTCAGCAATATTCCAGCTATATGGCGGCGGTCTGTAAATAATTGAGTCTGGCCCAGACAATTCAGTGATCAACAGCATGAGCATCGATCTGCACAATTGGGAACCGATGACAATTGTCAACCAAGACAGCGAGCCTGACCACCCGATCCCGTTAGTCGCCTCGTACGACAAGCAAGGGTTACTGAAGATCAATATAACCCGGACCCTCACGGGTCTCCCCGTCATGATAATGGTGGTAAAGTGGCATAAAACAATGCAATGCCCAGTCACCGGATTACACACTGCTGTTTTGTCAATTTCGCTTTCCTTTTCATATGTAGCTGAAATTAGTGTCAAACTGTATTAAGACCCAGTCACTTCTTAAATTCCCTCTACGCCATTGGCCTTACCTTGAAGGACGCCAAAACTGAAGTACAGGAAGATGAGACTGTCGGCCAGGAAACTGACACTGCAGCCTACACAGGCCAGCACAGCCCCCAGTATAGCTGTCACACGAGTCCCCAGCAGGTCCAGGACAACCACTCCCACAGGGCCTAGAATCACATCGATGTTTGTGCATTGTCAAGTGAACAATTAAAGGTCATCCTGCATTTCCAGGGAACAAATGAAAGATATTCTGGATTAGAGACAATTTAGCAACAATCTATTGACACCAAGCATGGCTAATGAACATTAAAGGACACCCTGTAAGTCACGGGGTCAACAGCATGAGCATCGATCTACGCAATTGGGAACCAATGACATGTGTCAACTAAGTCAGCGAGCCTGACCACCCGATCCCGTTAGACGACAAAAGGGGTTGTGAAGAATAATTCTAACACTGATCTTCACGGGTATATCCAAACTAGTCACTGACAATCATATCGGTTTGGCCCTTTATCAACAACAGGCGCTTGCCGAAAGAGGCGACTGACGGAATCTGGTGGTTAGGTTCCCTTTTAGAGTAACCATAGCGTCGAACTTGATGTGAAGCTATGATACCAAGTGATCACAGGATTTTCAGCATCGTGTAAATGAGTACGGGTGTTTTATCACAGTAGAACTGACAAGATCCTGTTTAACCGAGGATGGAGCAACAGCTGTACCAACTTACCAAGCAGTAGGACGAGTCCGCTGAGAAGAGATCCAATCCAGGCAGTCTCACCACGAGAACTTTCAAACTGACCCAGGAGCTCCACGTATATGACTCCGAAAGACTGCATGAGTCCAAACACAATGAAGTGGATGTAGAACGTGCCCACCACACACACCCACGCCCATCCAGCATCCTTCTGGCGAGTCATGGATGGAGATTGTAAATATGGGCAGAGCTGTCAGAAAGAATAAGAGAAGTTTATTGGGCGTATCACCATGCACCCCACGTCCATCCAGCATCCTTCTGGCGAGTCATGGATGGAGATTGTAAATATGGGCAGAGCTGTCAGAAAGAATAAGAGAAGTTTATTGGGCGTATCACCATGCACCCCACGTCCATCCAGCATCCTTCTGGCGAGTCATGGATGGAGATTGTAAATATGGGCAGAGCTGTCAGAAAGAATAAGAGAGAGTTTATTGGGCGTATCACCATGCACCCACGTCCATCCAGCATCCTTCTGGCGAGTCATGGATGGAGATTGTAAATATGGGCAGAGCTGTCAGAAAGAATAAGAGAAGTTTATTGGGCGTATCACCATGCACCCCACGTCCATCCAGCATCCTTCTGGCGAGTCATGGATGGAGATTGTAAATATGGGCAGAGCTGTCAGAAAGAATAAGAGAAGTTTATTGGGCGTATCACCATGCACCCCACGTCCATCCAGCATCCTTCTGGCGAGTCATGGATGGAGATTGTAAATATGGGCAGAGCTGTCAGAAAGAATAAGAGAAGTTTATTGGGCGTATCACCATGCACCCCACGTCCATCCAGCATCCTTCTGGCGAGTCATGGATGGAGATTGTAAATATGGGCAGAGCTGTCAGAAAGAATAAGAGAAGTTTATTGGGCGTATCACCATGCACCCCACGCCCATCCAGCATCCTTCTGGCGTGTTGTGGGTGGAGATTGTAAATATCAGCAGAGGTGCTACTAAGAACATATACACAAAGAACTTAATTAAGCACACCCTGTAGTTTTGCGATGATAGGTTTTCAAAACGTATGTAAACTTCTCGTGGTGACCACGATGGAAAAACATGTGTTTTTCTCACCCGTCTGATCCTTTGACTCATAAAAACCGACAAGATGACTGGAATCCATGTTGATCTTAAGATGATAATTTGCTTATTAGAAAACACACACACATATCTATGTGTGTACAAGCATGGCCCTGGAATGTTTAATGTTGAATTTATTGGTGAATATGAACATTCAAAATGTCATTTTGCGTGTCGTACACGATTCAAGGACAATACCGAGTGTAACCTCCATGTGACTGTATGACAGCTAGCACTCCCCTCCTCATACCCCCTGTCAGCCTCCTGATCCAGACTTAGCCATTTCTCGAGTAAGCAACTTCCAATTGGGCCAGGTTCTGTACAGGAGGATTCTTTTGTTGCACAAGACGAGCAATCATGTCCCAGATATGCTCCAAAGGGTTAAGATCGGGGCTCATTCAACCGTGAGATGTGTCACGGGGTGCTTAACTAAGTCCACGTCCATTTAGCAACCTTCTGGTGAGATTGGATTCTGGCGAATCATGGCTGAAGATTGGAAATATCAGCACAACTGTTCGCAAGAATGAATTCAAGTTTATATTATGTATCACCAGGCACATCCACTCCCAGCCCGTGCCCTACAGGCGAAGCACGCTCACGTCAAAGAACAGTAGGTGAAGGAACCACAGCTCCTTAAAAACTGCCTTACATATTCTAATCGTGATTTCGCCAAGTGCGTACCAAGGTAAAGGTCCCATTAGGTCAGCACCTTCACCGTTTATAATAACGTGTGTGTTGCCTTCAAATTGGAATTCTTCCCAAAGCACTTTTCTGTCCTTGGCAGTTCAAGTCTACTTTACCCATAGTTGTGTCCTTTTTAAGAGAACAAGATACTGAATCAGATCGGTATTCTTATTCAGAAAGGCGTTCCAAAGACTGGCTGATAGAATAGCGGAAAGATTTGAGATTCCAAAGATGATTTATACTGGGCCTATTTAACTCTAATAGCAACATTGCATGAAGCGGGCAACATGAAACGCTCAGCGGGTAATGGGGTGGAGTAGTGTATGTGTGTGTGTTTGCGTGCGTGCGTGCGTGCGTGCGTGCGTGAGTGCCTTTAGTCGATGGACATATGTTACAGATAAAGTTTGCACTCAAATATTTATGAATGGAGCTGTAAAACTCTGATCCACCAGCAATCCTAACTTAGGTTTTGCAAATTCGACAAATAATGGCTGCGTTTTCCGAACGCGTTTTGATCTTGTCAAACGTTCTGGGGCTGGATATTTGAGACCTGTTTGGGATCAACTGCAGTCAACCACTGGTTTGTCCAGCCCTCAGTGGATAAATTCATTAAACCAGCCTTTTAATTCGATACAATAACGCCAATAATTTATAACAAGGGCGGTTTGTTTTTTAGCCGTTTTGAGGTTAGTGATGTAATGCTTCTACCTTTTTTCATCTTTCCTCGATTCAGAATTATCTGTTTTAACAGAAATAAACACAAACACAACAAACATACTCCTTGGATGATGTACCGCCTCCGTGGTGTAGTGGTTAAAGCGTCTGCCCGGAGAGCGGAAGGTCGCGGGTTCGATCCCCGACCGCGTCATACCAAAAGACGTTAAAATATGGTACTTGTTGGTCCCTGCCTGGCGCTCGGCATTAATGGGTACAACAAGGACTGGTCGGCTCGGAGTCAGTATAATGTGTCTGAGTGGGGTATTCATGTTTCACTGCGGCATGGTATCTCAGTGGGCTAGCACTATAAAACCAGCTTCAGCCTGGGCTAGTACAAGCAGCCGCACCTACACATACACACGAATGCACGTCGTCAATTGAGCGAAATATTCTCAAGCACGACGTAAAACCCAATTTCACCTCACCTCACCTTGGATGATGCTCACTTTTGAGTATATGCCATGACTCCTGAAGTTACAGGGTGTTTAAGTATCTGCAATAATATTAGTCCGTCATTATTATTTACATCCGGAACTGGACGTTCGCTTTGTTATTGGAAAACAGAAATCAGCCACACTTGACCGATTGCTTACTTACCTGTTCCAAGAGGAAGGAAACCTCGAAGCTGAATAGCTGATTGGCAAAAAGAACCATTTACTCTACAAAGGAGTCCAACATGATCTTTAGTAAAGAAAATGATATGCATAGTCAGGTGAGTGAGTGAGTGAGTGACTTTCAGTCATATCGTAACGGAGGACAGTAAAAATAACTAGCATATCACAGACGTAGAGGTAAAACTAGCATGTGAATCTATTTTACTATTGAAGACAATACAATTAAAAACGCCCATAGCTCACCCCAAACTGAAAGTAGATCACCATACTACAGACTATGGGGTGGACTGACCTTATGGTATCTTTTGCTTCAAGCATGGACCCAAGCTGGATTTAAACAATCCTTCCAGCCGTTGGCGATTACAAAACATATTTATCACATACAAAACATATTTATCACAAATTGCCTGGCTGGACCTGCCTGGTCGCGATTCTTTCATCACCAGGGATACAAAATAGAGGATCTTCACCTTTCAATACGTATTCGAGTGAATATTGTGAATAGATAATACAGTGTCTCCGCACAAGAACCTATTCACACCTGGACTGACAACCCTTACAATAAGACGAGAGGAATCTACAGTGAGTTCACACCAAAAGCCAGTACGTTAATCTCCCAGTTGTCAGTGTCAGTAACAGAAATATCCCTGATGTCATGTTTGTTTGTGAAGCTTATGCCACTGTATCAAGTAGATATCCTTAGTGGCACCTTAACAGCACCTTGTTGTAGCGTTATTTATAACGAACGTTTGCCTTGTTAAAACATTTATCATACACTACACATGGATGAATAAGGGCGTTGTGGAAACCAAGCTGTATGTCATGTTTGTTTGTGAAGCTTATGCCACTGTATCAAGTAGATATCCTTAGTGGCACCTTAACAGCACCTTGTTGTAGCGTTATTTATAACGAACGTTTGCCTTGTTAAAACATTTATCATACACTACACATGGATGAATAAGGGCGTTGTGGAAACCAAGCTGTATGTCATGTTTTTCCAGAGATCGTTATGTGGACGTGGGTAGAAAAAAACAACACTAAGAAATAACACAGGTACATATACGAGGGGCGTCCCAAAAGTAGTCGGCCTAACCTAGAAAATTATACAAATGCAGCTGTTTGTCTGTTTTACTTTTCTATATATTATCTGTCAACCTCAAGCAAATTGGTTTAGCCATGTTCCAGCCTCACGATCCCCATTTTGTTTGACTCTTTATCTTGGTACCCCCCAAAAATATAAAAATCTGCAATAAATGTATCACAAACTTCAGGAAACAAAATATGCAAGAAAAATGGTGTGTGTTTGAGGCTGAACTCCTCTAGAATCAAACGTAGATATATACACGATGTCTCCCGCTGATCCACAATAAATATGCTTCCCATCAAAAGTTTAGACTCACTTAATACACTCACTATATGTTATATATTTCTCCACTAACTTGGGCGAATCAACTGGAAATATTATGCAGATGAATTGCACGAGGATAATGCATTAAATTGCTGAAAGGCATGTGCAAATATCGTGCATGTGAACAGCTGCGTGTTGGTGTAAAGTTTTGTTGGGAATTCGCCAATTTTCACTGATATTTTACATTTATTGAACTCATGACAATAATCTTTTCAACGTTAAGAATTTTTTTACAATACATCAGTTCATGTGTAAACAGTACCTTTAAACAGTATGGAATATTTTGCAAAATTTCGTTCAGAACAGTTGCCTGAAGTAAGTGGCTACATTTACACTAGTGAGTCTAAACTTTTGATGGGAAGTATATTATAGGGATGTTTTAAGTGCTTGGTGGCAATTTATATCTCGGGATGAAGCTGACCATGACGTAAATGATATACTTGCCGAAAGTCTCTGGTACAACAACAATAGGGTGTAGGATGTGTGTACTTACGACTTACTTACTTAAATGATAACATATACTGCTTTGAAAGCTGTGTAAACAATTACAATCTAAAATATGATTTTCTAACATTCACTGGTCTCATTAGATCAGTAAAGGTCATATTTGAAAACACTTAACGTAGATTTGAAGACTTTGTCAAAAATACCATACCCAACTTTACCAG